CGTCTGCTGCCCACTTTTCCTTTCAGACCGAATAACCACCGATGGTTACAAACGGCAGGGGCTGTTTCCATCTCCGACGCACGATGAGACCACCAGAATTCGCGCTTTCTTCAGACTAGCACATAGTTTCCTCCTGAGATCTTTGAGTCTCAGTATGTTCGCTTCCATTCAGAACACGTCGGCGAGCATCTATAAGTTTCATACTATGTAGATGTCCAAGTTTTCGACTTGATTTGCTACATGAATACATAACTGCTGGTCTTATCGTCTGGTGCACACGCGACCAGGGATCTTCACATGTGTTTAGTGAGCGCTTACTCAGCTTAGATGCCAACGTACTTTGATCCGCATTCAGAACATCTGACTTCGCCTGTTGGCAAGTATCTGTGCACTCACATAGTCGTTGTGAACGTCCGCCGAAACGCACCTGAAGGTCAGCACAAACAAGTGCGTAGTCAGAATCCACGCTCATGTACCAAATCGGACGACAATTTTAGTAACATCCTCTGCAGCAGAAACTGATCGCGATGTGACCGATTTGCTTCTACGGATGCTCCGAGGCTGGTAGGGGTCATGTCAACCTTCTGCGGGTGCTGTGTCGTAAGTTAGTGGTCGCGAGAAAAAGACGAGCATCTTCGCATAGGTGTGCCAACCACTCACTGTTATCATTGCGGAAGTTTACACTGTGTTGGACGCCCAGATGAATCTCATCAGTGGACAGCTTTCCAACTTGGGCGTTCTCATCACCAGCTAGCACCACAGTATCCGTACCCTTTCTGTGGGGGAGGAGCGCGTTCAGTTGGTGATATAATTCATCTTTCACCGAGTAGGTGCTACAATTTTCGGGTGCGTAGACTGCAGTAACAAACAAGCACCGTTTGTCCCCGCGCGACTTCAAGGCCCTGAACGAGCCAGCGAATCTAAAAGTGCACATCCGGCTGTTCATTGGAATCCCATCGATCAGGGCAGATTCAGCGCAGGGTTAAGATCAATACCCACGCCGGCCTGATCGACATTTGCAGTTGCGTCATATCCGGACAAGTGTAATGAGAAAATACCGTCAGCGTCGCATGTGTGGGATTGCAGGGTAATTACAGAACTCGAATCCTGCAGGCGAGTTTTAATTAATCAACAGATATCGATTGAGAGGGTCTCTAGTGTTCAGACAAGTTCTGCCTATTAGCCAATTTGCAACAAAGTGCGCATATTGAGGCATACCAACCTTATGGAGGATCAAGGGCTCTGAAAGAAGTAGGTGGACTGACGTTATCCGTTTGGCTGGACATAGATTTGTCGAGTGGACCGGAGCGACGCCCTGCGATTGCATGTGAGTCAAACCCAGAAGATTAACGGTTTCCGAACCAAGATGGGAAAGAACCAATGATTTGGGGATTGCAAATGAAGTTGGAATGGGACGATAAATATAAAAAGCGCAAGAGGCATGATAAGAAGACGGAAAGGGTTGCGCGGTAGCACCTAAACGCCTATCCACCCTACTCGATGCAACAGACAGGGCGCCGTTGATTATCCTCTGCAACGACCAAAGCATCAAAAAATCATGCGGGTCCGTGACTGCCACGCATGTCTTAGTGGCATTAGCTGCTAGAATCCGAAAGTCATGAGGTCGGAAATCAGCACGGGTCCGATGGAAGGCGCACCACTGATGAGACCCAGAAAGTCGAAACAGGGCTGTCTGGTGCTTTTCCAGACTTGTCAAAGTCTGCTGATTACGAGTTAACTATAATGAATTATCTCTACATCAAGAAATCTTTTGAAGGAAGGGTCATTGTATTGCTTGAGCAGAATACTGTCAGATTGCCCCGGCTTAGACAGCAGAACGACTAGGGTTCTCAACAAAGGCCATTGGTTCGAAAACATCGCAGGGCAGCGGGGTTTTGGCATTGAGCTACAGAGAGTCCGTTTTACGGCGTGTGGTGCTACGTTCACTCCAACCCCCAACCTGGATGGCCAGGAGACTGCGTTTGTCAGGACTCTAACCATTGACCAATCTGGTATGACTGACTGTGAAAGGGCAAAAGCACCACCCAGCATAGCCCGATGGATCGCTGAGGCACGCAAACCATCGCATCACGTTAAGGTGCGGTCTCGTTTCGTTCCAACAAAGCTAGCTTATATGGAACTCCTTCTGAAGTGATTGGTGTGACATCAACTTCCTACGTGAGCCCAGTTGATTCAGCAAACTACAGTGTCGCTGCAGTTAAGCCAAACTATTCTTTAAAATGTTCCACCCAGCGCGCTACTCTACAAGGCTGAGAATTAGTTAATTGTCCATTTTCCATAGCTGTTGACTCATTGCCCGAGGGCTTTCTTAAACCCATATTCCAGAAGAGCTGGAACAGTACTCGTCTGTTCCAGTTAGCGTTGATTTTCTCCATTACAAGGGCTTTTCTCACACACCAACGTTCCCGGCCTATTAGAAATTATTGTTTCGGGGCGTCATAGACAGGCCGAAACTCAGCATCCACCAATACATGTCTCTGTGCTTTGACCAAATTTTTTGGTGTATCAGATCTCCATTTCTAATTAGGATGTCTCAAATTGGGCATACATCAGTCGTCGAATGCAGCTCTCATAGCATACTTTAGACGATTCTACTTAGCGTTCGGCCCACTAATCTCACTCATCACTGACAACTGGTAGGCCAGTGCCTCATCATGTTGTTGCATTACGAACTTCTAGTTTAATTTACAAAGGAGAACCTTAGCAGTTGGACGCTTCTTTGAAACGGAGAGAATGAGTCCCATGCTTGCGCGTACTAGAGCATGGTCGGTACCCGGGCACAAACTCTAAATTTTGTGGCAGTCTTGAACCGATGTGTGCCACCTGTAGCTCATGGCAATATGGCCAATTTGGGCCATCGAAAAGTTCGGTGAACGACTGGTGACAGGATGTGGACGTTTGTTCTGGAATGCAGTATTGCTAACATAAGAATCGTGGCGGTAAATAGTTGTAACATTCGATCATCCTCTCTTCGGCGTGCATCGACTCCGAGAAACGTCTCCCAGATGTTCAGATTCTGAAATACTGACCACTTGGACATTCATGTCACTAGCAGCAACCACGACATTTGTCATTCGTGATATGGAGAAGATAATAGAATCGACGATAGAAATCATCTTTCACCCCCTCGGAATTACAATCAGTGGCAGCATAAACGGAAGCCATGAGTAGGCACCTTGTCTTCAGACGGCGTTTGTTAACCCCAGTAGAGGTTCGAATTCGAACCGCACATATGCGTCTGTCCCCTGGTATCCAGTCAAGTAAATTGCCTTCAGCATGTTTGCTGAGAGCGATGTTGACACCATAAATACCTTGGGTCATTGACTCATTATCGCCTGAGGCGTGAAGAATGTAGTCATCGTCGTCAGATTTAGAGGCGAGGGCTCGAAGCTTGTATGCGTGTTTTGGAAACACATTTCATTATCATGGGGGTGCAGAGCGAGAGTTACTGCTGCCTGTTGATCCATCTGACCCAGAATGCGGACGTCAGGACAGCCAATTTGCTATGAGCCCTTTGCTTATAGGAACGAGTTATGTGTACCGATAGCATCAGTTGCGATAGTTCCCTCCTCAGTAGACGGGGATAGAGGGTTGCAAAGTGAGAGGTGAACAAGAAACACGAGAGGGGTAATGTCATGGGGCTAAAAGGGCGGGTTATACTCCTGCTGTTTATTTAGAAAGAGGGGTTTTGTTCGAGGTTCTCCACCTCCAGCCTTTGACTTTACACTCAGGCCCACAAGTTAGTGGGTACGTGCAGGTTCACCTGACGGACCCCACTCGGAGCCTTTGGTACAATAGCCCGAATCACAAGGCAGTGGGGGCAGGTCCACCTTATGCGTGGCTACAGAAATCCATCGAGATATGCATGAGGCTTGTCACATACAAGCTCTGACGATTTGAAGGCGTCACTGGAAGTTAACCTTTGTATACTGGTACAGTTATATACTTTTGCACGCTTTTACCTATTCACATGTGAACCATACCTCACATGCTCAAGAAATGAAAATCATTTGTTTAGTTTTCTGACTAGTCGCGTTTCTTTTAAGCATTATTTCTGGTCCTTTTTATATTCCTTCTTTACTTTAGCTTATTATGATGAAGCAGTCTATGGTAGCTATATTAAACGCACTTCGGGTCTTCACTATTGACTAAGTGATCTGTTTTCAACTGTCATTTAAATTCACTACACCATCATACAGCATTTGTCCAGTGGCTTGTTCATCTATGCTTACTTTTTTCCGCTTCAGACATCATGTGTATATTGTGTTTGCCATTGGGGTATCTGATCGTCTATCCTGTTTGCCAGTTGCACTGCTCCCTAGCCTGAAATTCTGATCACTAATTATGTCATACTTTTGAAGATTTCCATTGTTTCCTGAGAGCTGATTGATGATGTACTGTTGTTCAGCATGCGATGGGCGAATGGCTAATACTGATTTACCTAACACCTGTCTGAGTTTTTGTATATAACATTGTTACACAAACTAAACAATCAATCACGCAATATCACTGTCCTTTTTGTCGCTATAGATTTGTCGCTGATATCAGGGTCACTTTCCTAGACCACTCTTTCGATTCACTCGTTATGCATCCGTACTTTTCGCCTTGGTAACACTGTGCGTTCGAAATTACCTTAAATTAAGCGGTGCCTCTCTTCACTCTTTCATTCAATGATGCTTTTTCCGATACCGATTCCTTTGTACTTTTCAGTATGAACACCAGTATCCTCCTTATACTACAGGGTCACCGGTAATTTGGAACTATACCCGATATGGCATGGTGGGCAAAGATGTGGCGCAATCCGGTTCTCTAATCATAACTACTTAGGAAATATGAATCCGATTGATCTGGTTGCATTTTTTGTCATCTGCGCATTATTACAAATTTTGTAGATTAAAGTCGTGGCGTTGCAACTAACCTATAATTGAATAAGTTGTATGGATAGATCCACAGATATCTGCTTAGAAAGACTTACCGAGGCCTGTTTGGTCCTGCGTGGTAAACTTTGTTCCCTGTTCTGGTTTCCGACGTAAAAGCCGGTCACACCTGCGCGGTTTCTCTACGCCTGTTTTCCATTCATTTAGATGTCTGTCCACTGTATTCGGTCCTATCTCTTGATGAGAACTCGCTAGAATCTTTTGCTGTGATTTGATCTCACTCCACCCGCATGCGCGTTGTTGCTGTTCTTAACGCTGATTCAACTGGTTACCGTTTTCCAGAACCCCATGGCTTCTCGTCTCCCTCATTATTGCATCATTGGAGGCGGCATTTCGGGCCTTGCCACAGCTTACTTTCTATCGATTGTAAAGTCCCCTGGAACCTACCGCGTTTCTTTGTTAGAATCAGGTCCACGCTTTGGCGGTTGGGTTCAGTCCATCCGAAACCCGGACACTGGTAGCGTTTACGAGCTAGGTCCTCACAGCGCCCGAGCTACTGGACCAAACAGTTTGCTTCTGCGTATGGCATGCAGTTTGGAGTTGGAAAACTCTATTCAGTGGCTATGTTCAGATCAAGATGCCTCTAAACGTTATATCTATACCGGCGATCAGTTGGTCACAGTTTCTCCCTTTCAACTGATTCCGACAAAGCCTTTCACACGATCCTCTGCCGGACTTTTGGTAAGGCGACTTTTTTCGCGTCGCCCTCCCAGCAAATCAGATTTATCTGTTGATGAATTTTTGCGCACTCGATTTGATGACGAATTTGCCGACTATTTAGGTAGCTCAATGATGCGCGGCATATACGCCGGGGATTCGCGGGAGCTTAGTTCTCGTGCTTGCCTGCCGTCGGTACGTTCACTCACTGCGTTCTTCAGTAAACCTTTTGCCCAATTATTCTTGCTCCAGTGGTATTTTCTCGCGTGCAATTATCTAGCTATATCCATGCCATTTTGGGTTGGAAAAACGATTAGAAAATCTTCACATTCCTCAGTTTTCGACTAAGTTTTCCAACCAAATTTCATGTTTGATCCACTTTGAAACCTTTCATAACACTGTACATGTATTTGGAAGTGCCCATTGTTTGTCACATTCGTTTGAAGTTCATAATCAGTTTATTCACATGTCACTGTGTATGCCTGCTCGCACTCTAGTCCATCGGAATACAGTCGTTAGAGCTGATGTTTTACTGGTTACAAATTGGGTTGCCAATGCCGATGAAATAAAATTCCAAATGACCACTAACTTATCACCATATACTTTCCGTAAGACTAGGCTTTCCTCAAATTCTGATTAATTTCCTTTTCAGTTATGAAAAGGCCCTGTAGTCAACAAGGTCATTTTCGGTGATTTCCGAAAACTAACTTGTTTGCTAGACTAGGTTCTGTTGTGTACATTTGTCTGTAAATGCGGTCAAATTGTATGATTTCTGTTCGCTTTCTTAAACTCACTTGCAGGACGTGGTTGTTGGCATCCAGTTCCCGGTTTGCCTGTCACTACAGCCTCCATATGAAGGTCACGGAATGCCTGCGCATAGAGAAGTACCATAAGCGGCTTGCGCTGCACCACCTACAGTTCCATCCACACACTTCAGATCCAGGGTAAATCCGAAGACATGTGAATGCGAGATAAGTTTCATCAACGGAGCCGGCTCATTCTCCTTCAACATGCACAGCAGCAGCATTCCTGTCAACCTAAGTGTTGGGAAAGGACCATCTTTCCCAAGAACTACACTAGAACCAGCCAAAACTATGGACTTATAGTTAGTCACCACTGAATTGTTAAACGGTGCACGCTCTCTGTTCCCGCTTCAAACCAGCACTATAATTGGTTGCTTTGACAAGGCCGTTAATTGACCTAAACCAATCATAAGTTTCCATCATTTTCCAATGTTCTGTGTTGACGTGCGAATAGTTCTCATGTCAGGGATATTGTTTCCTCTCCTTCCGGAGTTGGGGCTATAGACTGGTGCCGAATTGATGTTACATTTTTGATTTTGTGCCCTGCTTTCCTTGTAAATGTTCAGTGTCCGTGCGTGTTCGTTCCGAATTGCACTAGTGGCTTCAGCATCGCAACACTAAGTGGGAAAATCATACATGCCAGACGTACACAAGACGGTGGCTGGGCCGTAGTCCCCTCCAAACTAAGTGCATGGAGCCATTCTTTGAGCATAGCACAGCCACGAGGACCGTGTACCACTTCTTCCCCAGCAACGATTCCTAGCCTCATGGAACCAGTAATCGAGATGAAGGGCGTTAGACAGGTAGGCACCTTATCAACATTTACATCAAGCGCAGCCACACCGGGGATATCACATAAGGAACATAGAATCAGAGTGAAGATAAAAGCGCAAAATTGACACGGAATACACAAGAGAATACAAGAACTGACCAAATCCAATAAGGTGGAATGCACTTTTCCAGCTTAAGCAGATATAGTCTAGGTTTCATTCAGTGTTCTCCAACTGCGGTGAAGAAACATCATGTATGGACCATCAACCTCAGTATGGGGCACTTCCGAAACACGGGTCTTACGCCCTTCTCCTAGCTAAGAGTCGGGACACCAATCCGCGTGAGTCTGTGAACTGACCATGTGCTAGACCTGCTGCCTTCCGGGTGTACATTCAATCGAAGGCTTTAGCTGAGAACCCGAGTCTTTCTCCTGTAAAGTGTGGGCGCCCTGCCAGTATTCTAGTCGATTCTCTTCGGAGGTTAGGAAGTGGTCGATGGCCCTCTTCCTGTAAAACCTAATCATAGGAGACAACAGGTCTACGGGTTATAAGCTCACCGCTCGATTAACATAAAGCACTAGCGCCACTCATTGTCTCTGATGTTGGCATGACACCTCCGGGTGCTCAATGCTTTGCTACCGTCCGCCTCAAGCCTTACAACTCCTGGTCAAATTGGTGCAAACCCGCCAAAACCCACCTGTGTCTGGCCGTGGTCGCAGGTGCATGTCCTACTACGGTGGCAAAATATATATGAAATTTTCCAGATCTGTAAAGGCTGCGTGTGACTGTCCTCAAACAGTTCCAAATCTGTCTCTGTAATCACATTCATGAGTTGGATCTGCTCCCCACTGCCTTGTGGGTCGGGCTATTGAGTCAAAGGCTCCGGGCTGAGTCCTTCAAGTAATCGTCCTAACCACCCACTGCCTTGTGGATCAGACTATTGAGCCAAAGGCTCTGGGTGGAGTTCATCAAGCAACACCATGGTTTTAGCAACAGACTTCGACGCGCCTGTCGGTCGTCTTTTGCCATGTGAGCGCCCCCTCGGGGGACCGCATGGATATGATGATATTCGCTCAGACAACGGGGAGAGACTGCTCAGTCTGTGTGCTGATCATCAGCTATTCCTCTCCAGCACCAGCTTTCGTCATCCTGGACGCCAGTACGCCACTTGGCGTCCCCCCCCATCATCAACTCAGCGCTGGTCACAGATTGACCACATAGCTATAAGTCGCAGGTGGCGCGGCAGCGTACGCGATTGCCGATCCTTTTGCTCAACATGCGTCGATACCGATCATGCACTGGTATGTGCGACCGTTTACCTGCGTTTCGGTAGTTCACCTATGTCAAAACACCCGACTAAACACCTACAAGTTAGAGGACCCAATGGTGAAGAAAGAGTATCAACAAAGGCTTCGTGAAAATCTCTCTCTCACTCTCTAGATGTTGATCAACACTGGTCAAGTCTGCAACAAACCCTGCTGTCGGCCGGTTTGTCCAGCTGTGGCCTCGATCGCTCCACTACAAAAGTTGGTTTCAGGAAGATCCTTGAAATTGCTGGATCGCCGACGGGCAGTGCCTACTGGCGCAGAGTACAACTAACACCGCCGGTCTATTACGCAACAGTTGAAAGCAAGCCCTTGTTCTGATCGTGAATCTTGGTGGTCAAAATAAGCTGATTCGGTGGAAGCCGTTGCATCAGCTGGAAATTTCTGCCGTCTATTTTGCATCATCAGGGCCACCGGTTGCAGTTTCCACGTTATCAGCAAGACGCTTTGCGAATCAGACGACACGAAGATCACCAACCTTCACAAGCGATTGGGTCGCTGGGCAGAGCATTTCGCTCTTCACTTCAACCACCCAACACTGCCCACTGTGACACCTCCAGCCCCAATGGATGATGCTTGGCCTGTCTCCACAGCCCCAAAATACAATCCAGTCTTTGAAACGCCACAAGGCTCCGGGTCCCGATAGCCTACCCCTGGCTCTATTCAAAGTTGGTGTGAGTGTACTTGTCAGCGAAATCCTATCGCTGTTCACGAAAGTTTGGACTGAGGAGAATGTTCCGAACACATAGGGCTGGCTTGTCAAACTATCTCGTGGTACCAGCTGGGTGGTTCGGGTGTACCCCGTTCCTGCAACGTGTTCGGTGACATCGTTCCACCTCCGTAGGGCATTTGTATTCCAGCGATTGTACTGACTTCTTGGAGAGTATTGGGCCTCTGTTTGGCAATCTACCAAACAAAGACGCATGAACTGATCATTCAGTGGACGCCTCACAATAGGCGCGATTACCTAAATTCTCCGCGCTGCCTTGCGGGTAGGTTATTTAACCAAAGGCTCGGATTGTAGTCCCCTAAGTCAACTCCCTACTTCGACTTGGGCAACCGGGTAGTATCACGCCCTCTCGCAAAAACCTGGACTGTATTACAACGTGCTCATCAGCTACTGTTTTTGCTGGCCACTTTCACGCGACTTCATCACACGCCAATTGTTTGTTTGCTAACAATCCTCACTTTCCGTTACCCGATTCATGTGTTCAACAATCGGGCTGCGATTCCGGTTGCGCAGCAGACCAAGGAGTTCAACCTATGACTCTCCTTCGTCCCCGATCCTTGTTCCGTTTGGCGTGCTCCAACATTCGGACACTCATGCAGGATAGACAGCAAGCCGGTCTAGCGCGCACCCTAGATTCCTTAGATATTGATGTCTGCTTCCTTTCAGAAACCCGATTGCAAGATCCCAGCACTGTGCTTACATTGACATCCCCCACTGACCACGAAGCCAAATATCACCTGCCTCTTTCTGGAGATCCAGATGCAGCCTCAGCGGGTTTGGCTGGTGTAGGTATAGCACTGAGTGGTAAGGCCGAGGCGACACTACTGGACTGGTTCCCGATTAACAGCCTACTATGTGCATTTCGGCTTCTGGGTTCATGTAGAATCAACGGGCACCGCGAAGAGAGACAACTTTTTTGTGATCTCCGTGTACGCTCCAACCGACTGCAGTGGCGACTCGGTCAAGGACGAATTCTACCGAGATCTACAAAAGCTCTTGACTAATGCTAAAAGTCGGATGTCGTTATCCCTGCTGGGGATTTTAATGCCCGGGCTGGCCGCCTATTACCATATGAACGCCACCTTGGTGGTCATCACGTGCTCGATGTGAACCGCTAGGCTAACGGATAGAGACTTCTCACATTGTACGAAGACAACCGTCTGTTTCTTTCTAGCACTAACTTCTTTCGTACGAAGAAGCGTTCCGCAACGTGGCGTTCCCCTTCCTCAACATAACATTGGTCTCAAATTGATCATATTGCAATTAGCTTCAGATGGCACGGCAGCCTACTGGACTGCAGGTCCTTTTGGTCCACCTTCGTTGACTCAGATCATGCTCTGGTCTGCGCGAAAATCTGCATATGTGTTGGGGGTACCGAAACACGAAGCACCTCAAGATTGATGTAAACAGATTAACTGATTCCTCTGTCCAGGCGAGCTATCAGTCTTCACTGACATATGCACTCAGTTGCAATCCACCGCAAGATGTGGAGCAACACTGGACTTGTATATGGAAAGCGATGGCCATTTCCGGACAGCCAAGCTGCGGTCTAACTGAACGTCCCCTA